GAGAGAGAGAGAGAGAGAGAGAGAGAGAGAGAGAGAGAGAGAGAGAGAGAGAGAGAGAGAGAGAGAGAGGTTGATGGCTGTATGCATGCTGATGGGGAAGGACATGAACAGCTGTTTGCGACGTATCTGCATGTGGAACGGGTTGCATCTATCTCCAAAATCCTTTTCCATGATGTCTAAAACCCTTGCGGGGAACAGCCTTCTCTGATGACATGCACTGTTATATGTCCGTGGTTCTGCAGCAATTGGCACGAGGTTGAGAACCCCTCATCCTTTGTGGTTCTTTCAGTTCCTTGAGGTTTTGGGTGGTGCAGGTTGGCTAACAGGAAAGCTAGGACATAGTGCTTTATTATTATTATTATTATTATTTTTTTTTTTTTTTTGTTGAATGTTCTCATGTGTTATTCTCCATGACTGATGGCGTGTCTATTTGCTGTGGAAGTGGTTTATGAGGCAGGGATGGTCTGTGGCTGATGTGGGTGAGATGATGGCATAGAAATAGAACAGAAGGTTGGTGATGTTGTTTGAGGTGTGTGCTGTCTTCCATAGAGATTGCGCTCTGCAGGATTACGATTGCGATGATGATAATTCCTGCTCTATCTATTGGTGGGGCGATGATGATAATTCCTGTGTAGTCTACATGAGCTCCGATATCCGCCACCTTGTTGGCACCTTGTTTTGCATTTATTTGAGCGACACGTACTGTGTTTCATGCGATCTGTGCAAGACACCTTGGCGTTGGCAACCTCGCAGTGGTTTCCGGAAACTTCCCGGACCATTCCCGGAACATTCCAAGCTTTTTCCGCGGCACTCCGCTCAACCATCCAAGCTTTTTTCGCGACACTCCGCTCAAAACAGTGCCAGCTTTTTTGTCACGCTCCACTCAACTGTGCCAGCTTTTTTACCACACTCGGCTCTACGCTGCCAGATTTTTTACCACAGTCGGCTCTACAGTGCCAGCTTTTTTACCACACTCGGTAAAAAAGCTGGCACTGTAGAGTTGAGTGTGCTAATCTCGGCACGAGTCTTCGGTTCATCTTATTACTATGCGTACGCAAAGGGGTGTTCTCTTCCGTGACCTGGTTTTTGTGGATGCACTTGCGCCGTACATTTTCGGCGCTTGTTTCGGCCCTTCACCATTGTTATTAAACCAGCAGTACTTCCTCAAGTAGTGCCCGTTAACGCGCCACGATTTTAGGAAACGTACGGGCTACGATAGGAGCGCCCAAATTCATTCGGCTAGAAACGTTTCTACTCCTTTTTTTTTTTCTTCTGCGGGCGATAGCTGGGCCAAGTACTGGTGTTTAAGTATAGGATGTTCCAAATACAAAAAAGCAGGGATCCCCTCTATATAGTCTTAGGAGTAGTGGTAGGAAGGTAGCGAAACGCAAAACATAATTTGAGAGAAGATCGTAGTGTAGTTTTTAAAAAAGGAAAGAAAACAAAAAAAAAAGGAAAACAAAAAAATGGAAGAAAAAGGAAGTAAAGGAAGACAGAGCCCCCAGCGCATGTGACTGAACGGTATACACATGTGGACGAAGTACGTTGTCCTAGGCTACCAGAGTGGCCCGGGGTCACTTGCCCGGCCGGGCCAAAAAAAAAAGTAAAAACAATATTTTAAAAATTTATTTTGTATTTTAAATTTGGTGAAGAATTTCGATGTGACCCTGAGGCAAAAGTTGTTCAGTTTATTTTTCTGCATAACATAGTTTTTTTTCGTTTTTTTTTTTTTTTTTTTTTTTTTT